ACATACATATATATATATATATATGTGTAAATATGTATATGTGTCTATGTAGGCAGACAGATAGATGGCTAGATAGATTAGGTAGATAGGTACATATCCATCTATCTGTCTATCTACCTACAGTACCTGTCTGTCTATAAAGAATGAGAAAGAGAAAGAGAGAGAAAAAGAGCACTGTCTATCTGTCTATCTATATCTATCTATCTGTCTATGTATATAGTGTACATGTATGTATGTGTGTCTGTATGTCATTTTCGCACTCGCACTCGACGGGGTCAGACATACATAGATGCACATACATACATACATACATACATACATACATACTTACTCACTTACATACATACATATGTGCATATCATATATATATAATATCTATCTATCTATCTATCTATCTATCTATATATGCATACATGCATACATGCATACATACATACATACATACATACATACATACATATATGTGTATATGTGTGTGTATATGTATGTATACAATGTGTGTATGCAAGTACCAAAACAACACCTATAAAAATATCTACACTTCATAGCACTTTGCAGACTAATAAGTCCCTCAAGTGCATGCACTATGATACGTAGTGTAATGAGTTAGCAAATGCACTGATCGAGGGAGACGTGTCCTGAGCCGGAGCTCCGACCTCGAGAGCTTTCGGTTCATTTGTCGATGCTTTCTGCTTCGCAGGCTCTGGAGAAGAAGGGCTTTGGCACCTGCCTAGGGTCTGGAGCGTAGGGTTGAGGGGTCTGACAAGAACCTGCTAGTAGGGGCTTTGGGGGTCTTCACCCACAGCAGGCACTGCAGGTGTCCTGGGTTCGTTTTAGGGTTCAATGTCTTTTTGCCCCACTTAGCCAGGACAAGCTCACATTGCATGGTCGAGGTTTCTTTTTTGTCGTCCCTTTTCCTCTAGCAGTAGCTACTTGATTTCAATGTTTAGGGTTTTCGAGTAGGCCGTAAAGGTGCTGCGCGTTTCCCCCAAACGGCCAAATCCCTTAGGAGCCTATAATCGCCCACTTGCTTCGGAAACTTGGTTGAAGACAAACCACTACACTGCGGCGCAGCTGTGCCCGGACATATCTAGAAACGTCGGTCTTGCCTTTTTGGGGTTTAGGGTTTAGGGTTCAGGAAGCAAATGCAGCAGGTGCAGCTCGCCCCGCTCCGCGATTCTCTTTCTGCTCGGCGCTGCCATGAAAGGAACCATGGCGCATGCCGGCCGAAGGTGCTCCAAGCGAATCTTTCTTGGCGAGGTCGATCAGATCATGCTAGGGCACTCTCACATGCAAAACGCTGCGCGTAGCTGTGATTCTTGTAACGACGCTTTTTGCTGTTAGCAACAAAAGTTGGAGCAACTATTCAGACATAGTCATCTTATATAAGATCTACATCCATACGTGCACAAATGCGGACGTGGACACCCAAGCACTTATGACACTGTTCTTCTATTCTATGCATGGGAAATTGCTTGCTTCTCGCCAAGGAGACTTTGAAACTTGCCCTTTCGGCCCGAGGTGTGGCTCAGGAGAGCTTGCAGTATGTTAAGTCATTGAGCTTGAGGGACCTTGAGGGTCACACTTATGCTTCTTACTGCTTGCGTTGTGTGCTCCATCCAAGCCCTAGCTACAACTCGTCTGACATTTGCTCACTGCGACCTTGGGTCAATCCACCGGTGGTGCACACGTCTCCTCCAACAGTTTTCCTAGCCTTGTTCACCAACTTCTTTGTCATGCCAGCTGGTCTACTGGAATTAGTCTACGACCATAGCTTTTGCAGCAGGAGGAGCAACTGAAAGGTGCAGAGCCATTTTGCAAAACACCGTTCGTAGGCGTGAACTGGCCTTGTGCGTGCGACGCTCAAGCCACCGCTCGGGTGAAACGTCCAGGAACAGGAAGTTTGCGGCAGCACTTTAAGCTCTCATGACGTCTGCTAGCGCCAGGGCAACGAAACGAGGTCCAAACGGACCTGTCTAGACCGATTATCATTGCTACAATTAACACGTTCAGCAGGGCGGCTGTTAAGTAAGCTCTGGGAATCGCATGCGGGTGCAGATTCCCGGGTTGCAAATCTGCTGACGTCAGCAGAGAATACATGTCAGGCTGGTACAACCTCCCGCGCGGTCGTGCCAACCACCGCCTTAAGCAGCGTGAGAAAAAAGTTGCATGAAGGCCGACTCGCTAAATGCTATGTCTACGCCTTCGCAGGACCAACTGGACCCATTGCCGCCTTCGTGCCTTCAACCCCAGTTGCGGAGGGCAACATTCTGTCGACGGGTGAAACAGGTGAGACACAATCGGAGGTAGTTGGTGAACCGCAATCAATGGATCCCTGCTGGTCGGCCAGGTACCCAGGGGCGTCTACCTCGATGACCTGCATGACCCAACTGGTGGGCATGGAGCTGTTCGGGTCCCTCTGGTTATCTGCATTTATACTGGCACAGACGGTGCCAATTTGTATGTGTGTGTGAGCGAGTGAGTGAGTGAGTGAGTGAGCAGATGAGTAGTGAACGGGTGAATGTGCATGACTGTGTGCGTCTGTGCATGCATGCACGTGCATGTAAGTAAGTAGCTGGACAATACGTATGCGTCTCTGTATATGTGTGTATATATCTATATACACATACAATTCATACAATCAACATGCTATACACCTTCATACAATAGTACTTATAACCCTACCGACAAAGCTACCTAGCTAGCTGACTATACAGTACCTGGCCACCTACCTACCTCTGCGCCTACCTACCAGTATCTACCTACCCTGCCGACCTCCCTCTCCCCCTGGCTGCCTGCTTGGCTGCCTGGCTACCGACCTTCTCACTCCGGCGCTACTCGGCCTCCGACTCTTACTTACTTGCATGCTTGCTTACCTACTTGGCTTTACTACTCTTTCTTCTTCTTTGCGTTGCTTAAGTACATCTACATATACATACATACATACATACATACATACATTACTACATACATTACTACATACATACATACATACATACATACATACATACAGACAGACAGACAGACAGACAGACAGACAGACATATAGACAGACATATAGACAGACATATAGACAGACATATAAATAGGTATATGATATATATATATATATGCACACATATTTATAGATGTACATACACATGCACAGAATCAGTTCGATGCAATGTCAGCGACAACTGCAGCCAGAACGCACCTTTTTTTTTCAAAACATGCTTGACACCACAGGCGCCAGAATTTGAACTTGGCACTCCAGGAGAGCTGGGCTAGGTCCAAGGCGCATGCTGCCCAGACGGGCGCAAGCGATCATTGAAATCATTTCAAGCTTAAGCCTTCTCTGTTGCGGAGCTCACCTGGGTAGCTTCAAACTGCCACGAATTCGCCGAATCTGCCGTCTGGCAGACGGCAAACAATGACTGTTTCCATTCTCTTCTTGGGCAGCCTATGACAATCTGACGGGTGCCATAGCAATCGTCAACTCCTCCAGACTATAGGGATGGAGAGGTCGTTGAACTGGAGAGCAATACAGAAGTTTCAACGTGCATCCACTCAAACTCCAAGTCCGAAAGTCACTCTGGGCATGACTGCGGGATCCGTCATTCAATGCATCCTCCTCGCAACGTTTGCCCAAGAAATAGAGAAAGGAATTGCCACACTGTGTAGAAACTTGTGAAACAACGGTGCTGAAGCCACTCTGAGACATGTAAAACACTCTCATTATCAGCAACAGGTGAATCTCCGATATGATGCTCAGACACATCCTGAGACCCGTAACACGCACGAGCTTTCATCCCTTCTTCAACACCTGCAAAAGCTGCTCGGCGAGCTCAACCACACGCGCAGACTGTGGATGGGAAACCAGCGCTGACTCGGCCAGGGACTGGCCTTGCAAAGCAGGGGAAGCAGATGCAAAGCTTCAGGGGATTCAGTTGGCTTGGGTTTAGGATTTGCAATGTTGAGGGCAAAGGACACGTGACTCTGCGGATGTGCAGTGGTGTGCGAACTATCAGCGGGATCACCTCTTCTCCGCTAGCATCAGCGTCAGGTAACAAAAGCCATATCTGCCTGCCTTGCGCAATCTTTCCGTTCACGAGGCAGGCAGCACTATCACTCTGAAACTGAAACTAGCTAAACGAACGCTGAACTCTCTAAAAAAGTTGCTGAAACCTTCACAAGCGGCCGTTGAGGTCTGCCAATGCCCCCACACGCTCCGACTTCCTCAGGTCCGTGATAAACTGTAAGTAGTTTAAGGAACCCTAAGCCCTCAGGAATAGTATTCCTGAGTATACTAATGAACTCTAACTCTAACGAACAACTGCTGCTTGGTGTCAGGCCCGTACTATTGTATCAGGCTGACAACTTTGAGCAGGAAGGATATGTGGATATGTATGTACACACTTACTAACGCATTCGGCTATCTGTGTAAAGGTATGTGTACACACATACTTTCACTCATATGTGCATAAACAAACAAAGAGACAAACACACACACACACACACACGCACATATATATATATGTATTTATATATCTACATACATAGTTCCAAATGTATGTGTACATACATACTTATATGTATATATATATGTGTGTGTGTATGTATTCAGGCAGAGAGAGAGAGAGAGTGTGTGTGTGTGTGTCTGAGCGAGAGAACAGAACCATCACGCAAACGATTGTCTATCCAAACCACCGACAGCAACACAGGCAAGCAGCGAATGGACCAGGCTGACAAGAGCTGCGCAACCGAATGCCTTGCTTGGAATGGAACGGAGCTGCTTTGTTGTGCTTCCAGCTGGCTAGGCCGAAGCCCCCATAGCAGGAACAAACGACACGGTTGAAACACCTTTGAAACAAGGAATGAAGCGGTTCAGGTCTGGGGGTGTTGTAGAATACATCAGGGCACTCTTTGGCTGACGTGATTTCTTGGAGCTTTTCTTGCGATGAGAACAGGCCCCAGTTGAACGCGAGAAGAGATATACAGGACTGTAGGGTGCAGTCCGGTTTTCAGTAGCTTTGAAGTGTGACAGTCTGTTGCTCATCACCTGTCACAACTTTTTGGACGACCGATCCCGGGAAGTAACTCCCGAAAGCCGAATGGGCCTGAATGCCTTCCACGAGCGGGAAGTTCGCCATGGCCTCTATAATAGAGAAGCTAGAGCAGCTAGAGCCCCATGACAAGATGGCGGTTTTTTGACACTCATACTCGGACAAGCCGAGCAATGCTGGTTCGGACGACTCGTTACAGCCTACCCTGCCTATTCACGCCGCAGGCATCGTCGTCAGGCAGAGCTCACACTAAGCACGAAGATCAAGTGACCGGAACGCACCAAGTAATTACGGGCGACAGTGGGCTTCTTGAGCTCTCAAAAATCAAACGCAGGCTACTATATACTGCTCCGCAGAACCCTGCCCGCCTCCATCACAATCTCCAGAATGTCGGCCAGGGTGAAGAATCGAACGCGGCACTCCTCGTTGCCTGTCGAGCAGGGGCCCCAGTGGCATTCCTACCTCGCTTCGTCCCGCTGCAGCCAATCAACAACACTTCAGTGCGACCTCAATTTGCACTTGCCACTGCGGGTCACATAACGGGCAACAGAAGTTGCGACACTTTCTTGCTGCTCTCTCTTTTGCGGAATGACCCTGAGGAAATGGCCTCGGTTGGCATTCAACGCAAGACGTGGGTGCAAGCCAGCAGTACCCGTTTCTTTTATGTAAGAACCCACGAAGCCTGAAAACCCTGTAGAACTTGTCTCTTTGAACCCTCAACCAAGACCCTTCGGCCCAACCCGAAAATCCAAACCTCCTTTTTAGACTGAAATCTCAGCCCCCGAAACCCTCCAAAACCGGAGACCACGGCCCGACTTTGAAACACTCTTCTGCTCAGGATCCTGTCATTCAGGGTTTCTACAGGGGTCGCTTCCATGGTTTCCAGAGGCCGCCTGTCGTCAGTGCCTGCACGGCTGCCAATCCATGGAGCTGAACGTCACGTTCGGCCGGGAAGGCCTCGTCTGTTGTCGGTGCTGTTAGATATGTAGCGTGTACTATGTGTATGTATGTATATGTATATATATATATACAAATACACAAATACACATACACAGTGCTTGTCTTTCTGTATATTTGTGTATTATATTTTCTTATAACATAAATAAACTAACAAGTATATATATATATTATATAGATGGTCAGGCGTCTGCCGTTCCCAGCCCCGCCCCCCCTCCCAATGGTATGGTCTGGTAGGGGAAGGCGTGTGCGGAGAGGGGTCGGGGCGGTTGGGTGGGGTGCTGCTGGGGGGCGGCTAGGGGTCACAGAGAGGGCCAGGATCTTACGCAAGCCCTATGCAAGCCATAAACCCTGTAATGTAGGGCGTGTTCCTGCTCCTGTTTTATTAAGCTTAACCTGCTCTAGTACTTTTGACCTTACACCCAACCCTAAACCCCACCTAAATCAGGCTCTAAGCTTGAAGCAGAACATAAACCGTCACCCAACCAACCTACACCCCAAACCCTCCCTAAGCTCTTGCCGACTCGAAGCCTTGTAATAACTTCCCCAAAACCCCATAACCACACCGGGGGGAAGAGGGACCCCACACCGCACCCACAAGGAGCGGGAGGGGGAGAGCGGGGGGGGGGGGAGGGGCGTGGAGCGCCTGACCATATATATATATATTTATTTATTTATGTATATATGTATACATATATATATATGTATGTATGTATGTATGTATGTATATATATATATACACATACGTGTGTGTGTATATGTAAGTATGTAAGATGTAGACATACATACATACACAGAATACGTATTACACGATACTATAGGTACTCCCTGCATCATATGATGTTACACCCTACATCGCAGAAACACCAAAGAAACGCGTGAAAATGCTAGTTAGACAAAAAAGACATACATGCATTCATGCATGTCTGTCTGTATGTCCACACATTTGCTACTACACCATAAACTGCAACTCGCAAGCTGCGTCTAGTGCCATCAGCAACCAGGCCCAGTATCGTGGAGAAAGCAAGAGAGTTTCAGAAAAGAGGGGACTCCAATATAGAAGGAGCTCTATAAGCAACCTTCAAAACCCCTACAGCTAAAACCTAATGGCCGTTGAAACCTCACAAGTCTGGTCCAGGCTAAGCCATGGGCCCGCAGGGCGCGCACTGTGACCTTGCGCTGGGCTTGTGCTGAGATAAACGCGCCTTTATGAGATACTATCCCGAGAGGTGTTGTTGAATCGTGATGTCTGGTCGTGCTCTGGTTTGTGGCGAGCTTGCAAGGTTTGGGGTCCGCTTGCAAATGCTGCGGCTCCTGACTTGGACTGCTTGGAGGCTGCATCCGCTCAGATCAGCTGAATTCTTAGCCTGACATGTGCGCACTTGACTTGTCATCGCCTCCACGCCATCCTCGAGTAGAATCTCCAGCTGCCGATCTCCTCCTCTGTTTGCAGCATTGTCCATGCACTTGTTCGGGAGATTCTTGCTAAACCCGAGCTGGGCTATAAGCTGATGCAGCATCTGAACGTTATGGCAGCTATGGACATGAATGACATCCAGGCTACGACTACGAAGGCCGAGCTACGACAGTGCTCCATATCACCATCACTCGCTTGAAGGTGAGAAGGGAGGCTAATTCAGGCTCCCTTTTCTGGGCCGGACCTCTTTTCCAGAATGCCGACGGTTCAAAGAGCACGCAGTCCTTGCCATCCAATCTCCGAGAGCAAGGTCAGCCCGTACTCCTTCAAGGAGCAGCGAAGTCAGACTGGGACTCGGACACGACTCAGCTTTAGAACAAAATTACGATGTGCTTCCTCCGAGATACTCTGAAACAACCCGGGGGGGTGAACCATAATGCTCCTGGATCTTCGGCCTGGCGATGTTGAGATTCATCACCTGAGCCGTGCTTGTGCCACACCAGCATGCCATCTCAAAAGGAACTACATATCGCTCTACACTTGTGGCCATACTGCATTCTGAGACTAATTGGGTACCATCATTCATTCCGACGGTAAAAACATTATATTCCGGAGGCGTGCCGGTCTCGTTTCATACCACGATAGTCATCTGCCGCTGTACGGCAAAACAGCACTTGTTGCTTTTTAGATGTAGCTCCAGTTTCCCATCATCTTCGGTCTGTCGCTCTTGCCAGCGGCGACTGCTCTGGGCACGTGGAACGACAGCAAGCTTCACTTACAGGGTGGTACTTGCACACCATGTCGAGGCGATCGTCACAAGGCCTTAAGGGATAATGGCTAAGATTACGCCAGCGTCAACCCCAACCTGTGAAAGAGCACCGCTAGCAGTCTAATCCCTGCATCATTAGCCCAAGAACCACTCCAAGAAAGCAACTGACAACCAGCGGCGCCCCAGAACACACACAGCACGACGTTTGGCGGTGGAAACAAGAGTCGCGCCCAAAACACCGACAGAACTGCGGCGGGAGCACGATCTTTTGGGAGGAGAAAACATGCTCTCGGAAGTCCGAGTGCAAAGTCGCCAACTTCTGAACTTCCCAAGGCCCGTTAGAACGGCGCAATTACGAGACCAAACTAGGGAGCCTCCAGGAGGCGAACACTGCACGGAGCACCGCACTGTCCGGGAATAGGAGAATAAAAACAATTCTAAATAAATGTAACAAATATTATATAATAAATAGCATATATACATATATATGTATATGATACATATACATATATATATATATCAATAATGTGTAATGGGAGCCGGCTTTTCAAACATGCTTTTAACCGCGCAATAGCAATCTTCACATTTCTACCTTGCAGCCACAGCTGCCTTGACCAGCATTGGGACAGCTCCCAAGTAAGAGAGGCTGTCCTGAATGGTGCGGCGGCAGTATCCAAAGCGGAACAAGCTGTAACTTACCTCAGCACTTCATCAAACGCGTGTGTGAGAGTCGACGCCAGGCCAAGGTGGCAGGCTGGATGGTGCAAGTGCCATCTCGATCTTCTACCGACAGTCGCACAGAGAGGGCATGAGTCTTGCAAACCACTCACAGCCAGGAGTCTCTTGAGTCGTGGAGTAGGAGAACAGTCGCTAGGACAGCACGGCCAACAACAAGCATTTACAAGAATCAGATCAACCATGATGCAGAATCTACTTGGGTCCTAAAGAAAATGATCCCACAAAAAAAGCAACGTACCGATGTATGAGAAACTCCCATGTCCCGGGCTCAGAACCCTGTGACTGTGGGTCCTCCACATCAGGGAGGCGTCCGCCGGTGGCTATGACACGGAGAACATCCAGGCCTCTCTCCTTCCACGAACGGCTTCAAAGAATTGGTTCGGGTTTAAGGCTGCTTTCCAAGTAACTGTTAGGTTGAAGGCCGATCTTTGGGTTTAGGGTTCGGACTGTGTCGCTTGATGGCCTTAACGTTTGACTTCAAGACCCAAGGCATCATGTCCGCGAAAAGGCGGGGCCCGGGCAGTTGCTTCTCAAGCCCTGTTGCGGCTGAACGTCAGCTGCCAAGGCCATAAAGAAGACAAGCAACAAGACTAACCCCTGCAATTCACTTATATAACCTTCGATGTTGCCCTGGAGCACTAAACAAAGAGCTGGTGCGCCGGCGCATCTATGAGAATTTATCGTTCAGTATCTTGGTCCATCCACATCCATTCAGCCCTTCGTAGTTCCTACAAGATCAGCAGACTTTACGATGCCCCGGAGTCGAGAGCACCTGCAGTTCCGGATCATCCGGGTAGTTCTCGAGGGCTCGCGCCAGCAATGGGACAGCTCCCAGACTGACCTCAAAGCGGACGCAAACAGTTACCATAATATGACAGCTTTGGCCATGTCATGTGACCTGGGACCGACGATGTTAGTCAAATTTGCAGGAGGATCTTCTGACTTGTAAGGAGAGCTTCGCTCGGTCGCAACGGCAGAAACAACCAAAATCGGTCTGTGTTGGTGAGGTTGGAGTCTGGAAAAGCAAGGCTGGATCTGATGTCAGATATCTTGAATATACCACGACTCTACAGCCATGTGCATTGTGCCACGAAGCCAGTCGCGCGTTGGCTGCATCCTCACCTTCCCCACCAGAAGCTGTCGAGAGCCGCAGCAAGGCCTCATGATAGCTTCAGCTAGTGTTTGGTGTCATTTCATGGCCCGACAGCTTCTACATGACAGAACGACTCGTCACTCAAGGGGATGGTGCGTGAGGGTTTGTTGTCGATATTGTCTTGGTTGCTCACCTCACCGAGCTAAGGGGTATGATTTGTGGCTGCCAAGTGTTGGGGTCACTGACCACCTATTCCCCTTTGCAGGCACACGCACTGAACTCTCGTTTCACAGATGGCGCTCAGTCATTGATCTGTGCAGCGGGAATGGCTCGGACTCTAGGATCAGACGCATACGACAGTACTGACTCGTAAGCAGTTGGCATATGGCAGTTTCTTGAGCCGCAAAGTTGCGTATTTAAGCGGAGAGCTTGAAAGTAGATACACTCTGTACGCTCTGCAAGGCAGAAGTGCACATGAGTTGTCGGTAAAGCACAGTCTGCTATGCAGGCCTGTGGTACCTTGATAGTTCGCATAGCTCTCATCGTGACACCAACGACTTCTACGAGGCATCGAGGTCTGTTCGCTCATGGTCTGAAGATCATAAAACACTTTTGTGTACATTGAGGGGCCAGGGGGAATGCTTTTCAGTACGGCCTCGCTCATGCAGGACTGACCCAAGCAGATGCATAACAAAGGCCTGAGTTCACAAAACATAACAAAGGCCTGAGTTCACAAAACCCTGGTCTTCGGAACACAGGCCTTCTTGCTGTACTGCTGTACTCATCCCATTGTACCATGAAGCCCCAAAGCTCGCCCCAAACCCTTCATTCAGATCCTGATACGGCCTGTGGTCCTTCGGTCGCTCTGAACTCTTTGAGCCCGAAGTACCTATGGTCTCCATTGTAGTTCCTTTTTGGGGTTATCTTGTAGGATCCTAAGTATGAAATTGGTTAAACCACTGAAGCAACTACAATGGAGATTATAGGTAGATATGACTCTGTCGGGGGCCTGCAGTGCCATGGTGGCCCGCTGCTGCGCCTCAGCGCTGCGCTCGTGGCCGCGGAGTGCTGCGACAGCAAGCTGCACCTATGGCGGCAGTCTGCAGAGCCACGGTTTGGGGGGCCGCCTGTGCCTTGCAAGGCGAGGTCCTCAGTGCTACAGAGGATTCGTACCCTACCCCAGCGGCAGGAATCTTCTCATCACCACATACAGTAATTGTATATAATTCCTGGAGCAACAGATACCTTGCAGCAATGGGAAAGTCAAGTTCAGCACCGGCTTGTTGTAAACCATCCCTGGAGGATGAACTCTTTTCCTACCACCTCCCCATGCTTCCTCTGCTTCGCGGTTCCGAGGCACCGCAATGGGCAGCCCGGCGACCACGGCCTCTGAAAACTGCGGGACTTCTGCCGGCAATCTGAAAGCCTCCAACTTAAAGTGCAAATGCCATAGGTATTGACTTAGTGCCCGAGATTCAGGAGGACAGAGATTTTATGCTTGCGCATCAATTTCGATTTCTGCTAGTCCAATTGACAGTGTTCGGTCGAGCCAGGTCGTGAACGTCCGTCCCTCTTTTGGACCAACTTCAGGCCCGAATCCCCTTCAATCGTAGACGCTGCTCGTGCAAGGTGTCATCCCTGATCAGCAGTCTTACCGGTCTTACCTATCGTGGGTTGCAGAAGAAGGAGCCCGACCGGGCATTTGGAAGGTTGGCTGCAATTTCGGCGTATTTCTTCCTTGCTCTGATCTCAACACCTTACCCTAGGGCCCATGCACGCCGAATGCCGAACCTCTCACACTCCATGCCGGCTGCATCGGGCTACTAATCCGCAGCTCACATGCGGCAAACCACTGCAACAAAGGCTTAAGAGTGTGGACATGATTCTGCAGGGTTTGTCGGCGGTTTGAGGTTATCCAACTGCAGCAATAAGTAGGCTAATATAGATCCTGAGAGGAATGTGAAAAAAACAGATAGGTCACGAGATGGCAGTGATTGTTATCAACTCGATTCAACTTGTCAAGCCTCCCTGTCGCGACCGCGGTCCACAGCGGCCATCAGCGCCATTTTGCGCCAGGCAGTACCTTTTCTGGAGGGTTCATGGTTATGAGGAAGGGCCCAGTCATTTCGAGCTACCTAGTCTTGGGCTTTTCTTGATACAATGACTCATGTCCGATGCCATCAATGCGGCACAGGGTCGCCCCACCTCCTGCCGGAGGGATGTACAAACGCATTCATCAGAAGAGGCCAAGGTCTACGCACGAGGATACTTGACTACAGCAGCGAACTTAAATATGGCTCTCCCCATAATCGCTGGAGGCCAGAAGCCAAGTCAAGGAGCAGCCAGTGACCTGGATTCGCGTCTCATAAGGCAAAGCCCGCATCGCCTTCGCATGGGAGTCTGGGGGAGGTTGGAAATCTGAGACATTCATTGGCAGATAAGCTCCAAAGTCTGCACACGCGTTCCACGAAAGCACCAGGCCTCCAAGAGCAATCCCGGTCGGCTGACGTTCTGCGCACGCAACCAGCAGCTCTCCACATCCTCTGTGCAAAAAAGGGCGGGTGGATAGGAGTTGCATCTCGTGCTACAGTAAATGCAGTCACTGGTCAAGAGAACAGAACCTGAACCACAGGTAGATTACCAAGCTTCCAGCCCGGTTTGCAGGGAATGAATCAGATGCTGCACATGTCCAAGGTTGGCAGCCCCAACTGTTGACTGCCACTGACTGAACTTGTACCCTCAGAAACCCAGCACAGCGCATAAATGCCGGAACTGCAAACTTGCAAATCCTGTGCCCCACACCGTATCTCGCCTCTCCGGGCACCGGCAGGTCCAGCAGAATTTCGTCTACGGTTTTCTCCATATCGCCGAACTCCTTGAAAAGAGGCTTGCTCTTGTGATCCCAGGAGACCCGGCGAGAAGAGATTCCATACCAGCAAAGGTCTCGGATTCATTGCTACTTGTAATATGCATAACTTCAAGCTTATGTACACACAACGAATTAACACAAGCCAGTTGTAGCTTACAGGAATTGTATATAGCCGATTGTATATAGCTAGAACTTCAGGGAATTGACTTGCAACGGCTCTCAGAAGCGAGTGGACGGAGCACAACATAGAACGGCGCGGGAGCTTGCATGAATATGCTATATATATATATGCCACCAAGGCTCCTTTTCTTCGGCCTGAGGCACGGGAGAGATGGTTAGCTGGGCGGGTTTGGCAAGTGTCCGGGGTGAATTCTGCATTGACTTTGCACTTCACTTGGTGCATGTTGGCTCTGCTACATGAGACCCACAAGCTCCACGAGGAACAGGGAGAAATATCCACGAGACGCGCCTCAGCAACTGCCAGGTGGTCCTCGCACGAGATGGGCTAGTGACTTGGTGTAGCTGCCAACTTGCGCAGTTTCATGTGTCGGCGGGGTTCAGCGGTTTAGCAGAGCACCGTTTTTGTACACTAGCAGAGCACCTGGGTCGATGAAGGTGCGAATCGAATTCGGTGAAATCAACAAAACTCGCTCCTCTGCGAGGCCTTCTTATCTGACCAGAGCCCGGTCAAAAGCCAACGAGTGGGTATGTACCGTAGTGATACACGAGAAACGATGTCTCCCCATTTCATTCCAAGGCGGGTCGGCTGCGAAGCCGCTCTGCTCTGAAACATGGATTGCTCGGGGTAGTTGGTCTTTTTCAAACACTTTAACTTTCCGTTTGTGGCTTCCTAACCCTCTACTGTTCCCGTTGAGGTCTGATGAGCCGCATGTAGGACTCCAGCCTTACTCCGATCCTCTCTCCACAAGCCCCAGGCGTGTCAGACTTGTACTGCCGCAACTCCTGTCTCCGGCTATAGTCTGGTCCTGTCTGCCTTCAGTGTGAAAGATGCTTGTGTGCATGTGCGTCCCAGATCTGGCAAGGCTGTCTGGCGCAACTTCCAACCCAAAGATCTTAGCAGCAGACCAAAATGAAACAAGCACCATCGCAAGATTCGCTCCCTTCGTACTATCTTTGGCTCGTCCTTCTTCGCTCGAGAATGTTGCTCTCTGCACAAAAGTGGTTTGAGACTGACAGCTTAAAGCGCGTCAGAACCACAAGGGGACGCAGGAAAGTCTTGGTCCGATCTGAGACAAGCCATAACATCTACATCTACCTAAACTCAGTTCCTTCAACATGCTCCCACACCCACTCTACGTGGTCCTTGAGGGTGGCTAGCATCGACTGCCAAAGTGGCGATCCACCACGGGAAATCGCCGTTGCCACCTGGTGTGCAGGAGCTGCCCTCAAGAGGGGAGCGTGACTGATCAAATTGCAAAGGCTCTATCTCGCATCTGTCTGCAATGACATCCAGTATCCGCTTTGCGCCCAATGTGCCTTCTCTGAGAAATTGGCGAGATAGCACAGCAGCAGACACGCCCTCTCGCGTGCTTCAAGTGGAAATGCAGTTGCATCCAAGGCGACGAAAAGCCTGAGTTCGGCTTTGGGTAGAAGGGGCCGCTGGATGCACTTCGGTAGTGCTATGACAGCCCTCCTTCCAGTAGACTCCTATAAATCCTAAAGCTGTGTTAGGACTTAGATGCATGTTCGGAGGGGAACCCGGCCATCAGTGCAAGGCGCAAGTTGAGGATCTCATCGGCAAGGAGACTCTCTAACTCTGCCTGCGACTTTTCGGGGTTCACACTGGGACGGACAAGGCGAGGCACATGCTTCGAGGTCTGTTTTGAGGTGAGACAATGCTTGGAGAAGTGGAGAGTTTCGGTGCTCACACTCGGACAATCCAAGCGAGGTTATTGTTGCGTAGTCGTTTGAGATGAAAGACTCCGAGACTGTCCGACTGCTCACGAAATAAACCAGTTGCGACTTCGAACAGTTTCGGACCGAGTTGCTACAGAGGAGTTCAGGGTTTTGCAACTCAGGGACTTTGGACCTTTGCAACTTCAAACTCAGGAGAGTTGACGGGCCTCTTGGTAGGCTTTTGGTTGGGGGATTTGGGGGCTTTTGATTGCATCATGGGCACTTCACTAGCATTGCATCCTGGGCACTGGGCGTCTGAGATTTCAGGGAACCTACCCTGCATGACTGCATTTCACCTCTCCCTAGACTGCCGTCGAAAAGAGGGCCGAGCCTCGGCCATGGAACTGCAGATGCAGTGCACCGAGGCGACAAAGATCATCTCGAGACGACTGGGGCTCTTCGGTTTCCTGCAGATCTGGCATCATCTGTCCTCTCATGCCTTTAGCTCCGGCCGTACATCGTCTCCCAAGATGTCCAAGATGCCCGACAGAGGCGTCAATGACTGCTTTCTTGTCAGCTTCAAGGCTTCCTTCAGGCCCTGGACCTTACTAAGTGAAATAGATGCCCCAACTGCTCTACCCAGCTTGCGGGGATTCACTCATTTCAAGATGATCACATCTGAATTTCAACATCTGGGGAGTCTCCCGACATCCCAAAGCCTTATAAGCTCTGACCCCCCAAGGCCCACGGGATACCTGAAACTCCTAAATCCCAGATCCTTAACCCCTTCTGGCACCCTTTTGCAGACATATCCAAGGAGCTTCGCCCCCGAGGCCGAAGAGAGCAAAGATCGGGTACCTCAGTGGGTTACGGTTTATAGTTTCTAGGTTTTCCAGGAAGCTAAGAGGATGAGGCTTTGGGGTTTGGGGTTCTGGGTCCCACACAAATGATGCTATGTAAGGCAAGGAACCGCTTGCATCGTCGGAAGGACAGGGTTGATTGTATTTTTCCAGTATCCTTTCAAAAGGAAACCCGAATATGTACGTATACACTCACCAAGTCTTCCTCAAGGAGACCAGCACATGCACTCACATAGTCTCAGGTTAAAACCCTACTGCATCTCGCGACCCTGCGCAACCGATGAACCATCCCTTGACCCTGATGTCAATGTCTAACAGACATTATGTCAACGATACCTTGGCGGAGTGGAAAAGGCCGGAACTAGCGGTTATATGATCTTACAAGGAACAAAACAGGCCTAACTTCTACCAGCCTCAACTTTCCTCCCCCGACCACCCCCATCCCCACTCCCCACCCTCCGACAAAAAGACAACTCAACTGACAAGCTACCTCTTTTCCAAAAGCCTGCTCCTGCTAAAACTGTACAGCCACCCATTTGTAGGAAGCCTATGGAAGACCTCTATAAGACCCCCCTGAGACATACAAACCTCATGGGTACACCTAGCAGTTAGTTCATATTGAAGGTTCTAAGGGGTTCTCATTGCCATTCATTCCGACCCCTGACTGAATTTCGGAAGCGAGGAGCTGGACATCCGGCTCAGCACGGACTTGGGTGACTGTTGGCCGCTACCCTGGGACTTCCTCGAAGGCTTCAGGGCATTCCGTCTTAGGGTTTTGGGGTATACAGCATGTAGGGCTCATAGGAGCTGTATGTGGGGTTTGGTGGCTTCTCGGGTTGGATGCGGGTTTCGACTCACACACTCAAAGCGGGGTTTAGGGGCTTGAGGGGCTTGCTGGGTTGAAGTTCGCTTGTTCGGATTTGGTTGCTCTTGCTTTACCAGCCGCTCGCCAAAGCAAGAACTTGCAGGGAGTTGGGATTCAGGCAGTGCCACTGCGAAAGCTTCGGAAAAGAGAAACCTTTGCTCAGTGTTTTTACCTTGCCGGAGGCATGGCCTGATGAGTCCACCATAACAAGGTCCCAAACCCCCGCACTTAAGTTGCCGAGGAAGTGCACCGACATAAAAACTGCTCGGCAAGACGACATTCACTAAGACATGCACCTCTTCTGCCTCTTCTGGCATCAACGACCAGGGCGACTGTGGCCAGTTCGCACTGAAGCAGACCCTAAGACTGCCCTAACACCTAGAAGGCGCTAACCCTCAACCCTAGAAGCTGTAAGCTTGGAACCCAAATCGTGAGCTTGGACTCTCAAAACTTGAACAATCCCGGCGAACCTGGTACAGTGTCCTCCGGCCGTAGTATGTAGCACACGTCGCAAATAAGATCCTACTATATATATACATGCAACACAGCGTGCTACTGCGGTATAGTCCTATCCTATCCCATTCGATTCTATTCTATTGCTATTGATACCTACTGATACTACTACCATAACACTTATTGCGACGATTAGTCTTGTTCCTAACCGTGCTACAGCCAGCGCAGTGACAGCATACAACCATCCCACATTACACGTTATGATTCATAGCACATACACAAGTACGTCTGATCTTCGTCCGGGATCGGACTCGGAGGTGGATCAAAAGGCTCAGCCTGCCAGGCTTTGGGGCTTCGGGGCTCACAGTCCCAGATTTCGGTGTTGGGTGCTTTTGAGGGGGGGGGGGAAGGTTGGGGGGGTTTGGGGTTGAAGCCTAGAGGGTTCGGGCCTGCAGATGGCTGTAGGAACTGGGGCCTCGGGTTGAGAGTAAGCCCCGTTCTTGTGTCACTTTTTGTTTGGATCCGAGTAATTTCCCCAAAGGCCCGTTGCGATGCATTTGGAAGCATACTTTCGACTGAGATCTGGGTTCAGGGGAACTTCTCAACGCATATTGGTTCACGAGGTGACCTTGTTTCAGCCCGTGCTAACACCAACACAGCAACACCTACAAGACTCCGAGATGCCCCTGAAATCCCAACGGAAACCCCTGCACCCCCACACCCCACACCCCTGTACTGTAATTACAGCACCCCCACCTCGATATGCAGCACCGAATGGAACTTTTCCCAAACACCAAACCTCGATGTGCCGCATCATCTGCGGCAACCAGCCCAGAGACAAGGCTCTCTCTCGCCGTGCGCGCGCAACCTCCGAGGTGCCTTGGCGATCTGTCCCATAGACCGATCCTATCGTGAGGATTGAAGTATACAAATCGCTAGATCAATGGCAACAATAATCAATAGCAATACCAATAGCAGTAGCAATTACCGCCATCGGTTAATGATAACCCTGATAAGACTGAAAAAGACAAGACTAATGCCGACTTCCAGGTGTAAGAGTCTAAAGTTTATACAAAGCACCTGGACCCAGAGTTTCACTTGGGGTGCGTGGGGGTAGTATGGCCCTGAACAAAGTAGTGATGTAAAGAACATGTAGTTTATAACATGAAGGATTCACAGTGCATGTCGCGATATGTGTTTATAGAGACTGATTCAAGTGGCTCCAGGTCTGTGGAACATGGCAACCTCAATTGCATTTTCGATTGCAAGCTCAGTAGCCGCAGGTCAGGTTCTGCAGTGCCAGAAACGCCCACCAAGCGATGTCTGCATCCTCAGGGTGAGCCTGCAAGGATGATGCTCGCCGCTTGCACTGGCTCATGAGAAGATCACAGCTAATGTGCAGAATACTGCTGGCTCTGTGGATGCTTTTAGGGTGTGACATGCCCCAGGTTCCGTGCGCCGACATTCGTCCCGAAAGGCAACCCTCTCGGGGTTTCGTGCGATCGGCACGGTCCCTGTAATTCCAATACAAGCGATTCCTTCGCCCTCCGCTCGCGGAACCCTTTCGTGCGTGCAGTAAGTCGGCTTTCTCCGATCAGCACGATCCCTTGCAATTCGGCTTTGAGGAATGTAAGTGGGAAGTGTCACATTCAAACGTGGTCTTGTGCCCGCCTATTCCTTGCTTAGTAACGAACAGTGCTCCTGAGGGGCACATTGGACACTCGCAACATAATGTCCACGCACACAGCAATCAGTGTGCCATTTCTCCCCGGCAGGGCAAACCCTGAACCGTACACCCTATACCGTCAACCATGCTTTCCCGACACAGGCCTCCAGCGTCTCAAATACCTCCACAGCAACAACTCTTGTGTGATGAGATCTGCTGTGCAGCCCTCCTTTTGTGAGCTGGACATGTAAAGGGCCGAACCGTCTGCCTTCTGCAAAACTGTGACATACAGTTGAAGCAAGCAAAACGATTGAATCCAAAAGGAGCCGAAGGCCGAACTAAGCCACTAAGCGGCCCTGATGCCATGGAGATGGCGCGCCCCCGTGTAATGAACCCCTACAGCCCACAGGCCCTGAACCCAACCCTCCCAGCTGGGGCACCAAATCCAGACATCCAAGCTCCGCCAGTCCGTTTGCGGACTCCTCCCCTTGGGGGGATTAGGGTTGAGGGGTTTTGACTCACACACTCTGTGCAGGCCCGGGCTTTCTGTATAGGGCTTAGGGCGTGAATGATCTTTGGCTTCCTGCATAGGGAGCTTTGGAGGTTTCGGGTTTGGTTTGGGATGGTGTTCTTGCTGGAGTTTTTGGTGCTTGGTGGGGCGTCGCATTTCGGGGAGGGCAGGTGTGTCGCGTCTTGGGTTTGCGGGATGCTACAAGTCAGGGCTTTGCCACCACTGTTTAGCAGGGCTTATATGAAAGACGAATCTCATGGCGACTGTGCGAAGTGTGCAGATGCTGTATTGCAGATCTCGGGCCTTGCCTCTGCGAAAGCGGGATTTGGGGGAGTTCTTGTCTGACGTACGATTTGCACGGGCTGACCAGAAGCGACTACAGTCCCAGAAGAACTGTCCCCACGGAGGTTCTGCGGCTTGCGACGCCATTGGACACACTCGAAGCGACGAACGAAACCAACGCCGATTGGTGCCCTGCATTAACCATCAGAAGTCAGAAAGTGGCAGTTGACAAAAGATAGTGCCTCCTCTCGAGACGTGAAGCGCTAGCACTTCAGCTGAGAAGCCATCTGAAGAAAGGCGAGAAATGAATGTACAGCCGGCGGTCTGGATTGCAACAAAGTCCTGGGAATTCTGGTCATTCTGGGATCGAGATCTTGCTGCTTGAGCGGCCTGGGGAAGTGAACCGAATCAGGCAACATTTAGCCCCTGGAGACTTGGGGTCAGGGATTGGTCCGGATTGCAGAGGCAACCTGCGATGCCAGCAAAAGCTACCCATAGGCCCCTAAGTAGTTCCTTTTGTGGTTTATATTTAGAATCCTACAAGGTAATCCCAAAAAGGAACTACTTAGGGGCCTATGGGTAGCACTCAACCCGAAACAGGCGAATATCTTGCCGCACCCGGCACTCCAAAGCGCCGCATCGCTCTTACGACGGGTGCCGCATCCCCTCGGCGCGCTGGTCGGCACCTGCAGTGACTTGGGCTGGGCGGGATGGCCAAGTTTGCTGTTGATCGCGGGCTGGGGTTTTCTGCGATTAAGCTTTACATAGGATGTAATCATGGGGGGCTGTACTCTTCCTCGGGTCGGGCTGCCTGCAGCGACTTTGTCGGTTTCGTCTGACGTGGTGATGGAGAGGGGATTGCACATATCGTGGAAGCCAGCAAAAGGTTACCATACTAGTTGAGGACCTCTTGCGTATCTAGACCGAAGTAGCGACTCTGGCTTCAGTGCAGGCGCCGCGCAGCCAAAGTAGCCAGCCTCGGTACAGCTTAATGGATCATTGGTAACAACAAGTTAGGACAAACACAATCGAATCTTTACGAATTCTTCGATGCGAACCAAAGCACTTTTTCCAGCCCTCGACAGATGAAGACTTGACGGGCTAGGAAAGCTCGCAGGAGCACGACATTGAGTCACGTGCGGTGCTCTCTGTAGACGGATAGACAACAGACAGGAGTTATGCATCCCGTCATTCAGTAGTCACTTTCGTTATTATGCAGTCATACCATCTAATGTGTCTTAGAGCTTCCAACCACAACGCCCCTGCTGACCGACATTAAGGATGAGTGGGTGCACTCGCAAAACCCCTGAGTCTGCAACTACACTCAATCAACAAGGCCCTACTTGTTGCTAATTGCTCTGTCCAGCAGTAACGAGTAGGCTGCAGCATGCTCTCTGCTGCCAGCAGTCTCGAGAGAAAACGTAGATCGACTGTGCGCCACAAGAAGTGAAGTCAAGTGACAGCGAGATCGCCAAGGCCGCAACGCTGGAGCTTTGGACTGCATCTAACGCCTTGCCAGAGCGACTTTACACTTTTACATGGCATACTACATTTCAAGGCATGTTGACAGAACTATACGAAAAAAATGTTCACTATATATGTATTATGTATGTATATACGCAGATAAACCTATACTGCAAACTATTTTGGCTGTAGAACGATATAAACCAAGCCTTCATGCATAAACATCAAACTATACGTCTATGCATATATAAACACTCTATCTATCTATCTATCTATCTATCTATCTATATACACACACACACACACGCACACATACGTGATCCCGGTTCTCGGTTCACCGACCCCCCACCCCCCTAATCGTATCTCCCCCCTCCGGCCCGGTTCTAGACACACCAAATCCCCGTCTACGGAGTTTCTAGTACAGCTTCCAGTGAAAGTCGGGCCTTATGTTGGATTGAAGGCCTTAACCCCATGTAACCGCAAGACGCTCCGACTTGGGTCAACTGCTTGTACCCATTGAGGTGTTTAGGGTTGTAGGGGTTAGGGTTGAGGGCTTGAGCCGCGCAGGGCTTGGGGTTTAGGGTTCATAGTTGCTGTGTCATGTTAGATGACGACTATGTTTCAAAACATGTGCTGAATCCCCATGCTACCGCAACAAGGCCCGACTTCCTGGCAAGCTTGCCCCCAAAGATTGCGGCCACTCACAAAAACAAGGGCCGACTTCCACATGTGGGTGTACATGTACCTGTATACTACATGCATACATGCATGCATTCTCCTGAGCCCTGGCCCCGCTGGTGTCCTGAAGCAGGGCCGGCACGCCACGCAGGGCAGTGAGCCGCGTGGCAATGTCAGTGCTGCCCTGCGCAATGACGCGCAGGACCGTCCTGATGCAAAGGGCAGTGTAGAGGAGCGGTAACCATGCACGTGTTTGAGGACCTTCCCTGATGATTTCTGATCCAACCGTGCCTCGTTGCAGCACTCGGGGGCTCGCCGAGGAAACCCACAACTTGCTCAGCAATGCCTCCGGACCACGCTTGGGCAGTCCCGCTTGAGGAAGGTTTGACTGATCTCTGGATCCGTTTCTACCAGAAGCAACAGCCTGTGCGACTGCAGTGCCACTCGTCGGCAAAAAACAATGTTCCTGCATCACTTGGGCTTTAACGACTTTTGTCACCAATCTGCTTATCGTCTACATCGGCCAATGGAGAAAGGAAAAGACTCCGGCTTCGGCTGAATTGCCAGTTCGAAAACATTGCTGCGCCTCTTGCTCGTCGTTTTGTTCATGTAGATCGTTGCTTCCGTTGATTTTGCGAAGGTATGATGAGTGAGGATCTGTGTTGCAGGTGTCTCTCTCCCTATTGAGGGGCCACCCTCTAGCCTAGGCTTGCGTCTCGTGATAGCGGAATGCAGGAGTAAGCAGTGGCAATTGCACAGCGTCTATTGAGTCTAGAACTGCATACCTGCCTACAGGAAGCAACGATGAAGCCGAGGGGCGATCCATCGGCTCTTCCACCTTCTCCTTGTCCGGGGCTTTGGGCAAAAATGCATCCACAGATCATCCACAGCATTCAGTCCCTGATAATGGCTCCTCCAAACAAGCCGATGCTCCCAAAACCACTCTACTTAACTTGGGCCTCATCGAAGCTGAGGAGACGCGCCAGTGCCATTATCGCGACCTCCACAAGCTCCGGCACTTCCTCGGAATGAATGGCCGGTGGATGGCGTTAGGCATGTCTGCATAGAGAGTTGAATCTGACTCATTACTCAAGGCATCCACACAATTAAAACTGTTGGCCACGTTTCTGGAAAGCGGTTGAGGGCTGCGATTGCCAGGTCGACCGCCACAGGTGGTGACCTCTGCCTGCAGTTGCTGTATTCAGTTGCTCTCCCAGGACTCCGGCAGGTGTGCAAAGTTATGTTTTGCATTGCTTTGCTCGTGGCGCTTGATAGCAGACGTTCACGATCCGCAAATTGAGGCGAACACTCCGCCCCTTCATTGCCCTGTTATACGTGCTACGCCCGAGCGAAATTATGCGGGTGATTTTTCAGCCGAACTTCGCAAAGGCTCTCGAAACTTGAAATTCCAGGCCTTAAAATCCCAAAACATAAATATGTGAGAAACACTCGCCAACCGAACCTTGCAGCCACCAACGCCGCGATGAGGTCAAGACCTCGGATCCTGAGGAGCGCTGCTTCATAACCCTGTCGAACAGTTCTAGAAGTCGTATAGAATCTAGTATAGAACAATCCTAGCACCCTTATGATACCCTATTATTAGGACAGGCAGGTATAGAGCCCGTACAGCACAATGTAACGAGCTAGCACAAACAGCATGCATCTAGATAGGGATGACCGGTCTGCAAATGTGTGTGTGTGTGCGCATACGATCTGCGATGCAAATAGGCTCTGCCTCAGACCTGGACCTAGATATCCCTCAAACCTACATGACCACATTCTATCAGCGAAATCCAAGCAACTGCACGACCAGCGACCGCGGCTGGGAGGCCAGCGATGAGAGGACCGCCTGGTGAACACCGGTGAGGTCTGTAGTGAGGGTATGTCGACCCTGATTTCGAACAACATGGAACAACCGTCAGTATCCGGGCTGGCATGTAGCCGTCGGAGGTGCGTGAGATGAAGATATCTCGGAGCTGCTGACAGTAAGAGTTGACCTGACATTCGAAAAACCAGGTCAAGACTGACCCGTGTTGTGACATGCGGCACGCAGCACTACGAGTACGACATCCTTTGCCCGTCCATCATGTTCGACGTGATTGTCGCGTGTAGTGATAGGGTTACAGGGCAAACGCGCATGTGCATGCCAATATGTCCGATAGTCTGATCTTTAACTTCAGAACACGGTCTAGCATGTGCAGCATACTCCCCATTCAGTGTCGTCCTCTGATGCTGGTAGTGTACGACGTGGAAATCTGCCCCTCCGGAGACTCGATATTTCCTGCATCTTTTGGCTCTTCCTGGAGGAGCTCTTGTTCCTGACTCCTGACCTGTTTATGCAGTCTTCAGCCCTACTGGCATGTTCTTACGTGAGGCTGTGCCTTTGTTTTCGTCTGCATGACGACAGTGGCCTCCTCCACATCGCAATCGACTAGAGCTCCGGCATCGCTGCCAGCTAAGGCCTCGCACAAACAAGTGAACATTACATGCCCTGCAGGAAACCACTGACACACAAGCACTCCTGCACATATATTGTAGTGCTTCAGTTGAAGATCAGTGTCGGCATTCCCCTGAAGCACAGCACTATCGTCGCCCAGCTCCAAAAGCTCCGGACCTGTAACGCAGCACACCCAGACTCCTGCGGGTTCGCTCGCTTCCAAGCACGACAAGGGGTCGTTTGAGCGCCAGATGCTCGGAAATGGCATGGTTGCGGGTATCATCCATAAACCCTAAACCATGCAAGGATGCGCTCGGCTAGGAGCGCCTGGTTGTACACAACAAAGGCGTTCCAATGGGTAAAGTATGCTAACGGTAACGAGTCTTGGCCCCAGCTCCTCCTGTTCCGACTATGTCTAGCAGCAGCAGTCACCCTTCTTGCTCTGCTCCGTCGAACCCTTGTGCGGGGCTGGCCTAGATCCACAACCTCAACTTCCCCGCTCCTGCAGCGTGGAATTCTGCCAATGCCTGTGCGCAGCTTGTGGAAATTGTCGAAGGGTTTTTTGGGAAATTAGAAGTGCCGACGCGTTATTCAAGTATGTCAAGAAGGATTCGATTTTACTGTGTAAGGCGTTTTTGAGCCCCGTATCTTCTCCACTATTGGCTCAGCTCTTCCGTTGGTCCCATTCACAAGGCATGACGTAGAAACACATGCTTGCGGGCACTCTTCAAGAAGCTAGACGGACGAATATCGGGTGATGGGCGGATGGCACGATCCGCATTCTTGCTTGTCACCATGCGTGACCGGAAGATTTCGCCGAACATCATTTCGTTCAGCTTGCTGCTACTTTCTAGCCAAACCTCGACTTCAAGCGCTTGCACTGAGGGACCCAAAACTTGGGTCCCTCAGAACCATAGACCCTGCACCCCAAACGCCGGGACACTAGCCTTTTGAGAGCCGCCAGGGCTAAGTCGGGGGCGCCCAAGTCGATGAACCTTCTAGCAGTAGCAGTAGTAGTAGCAGT